GATGCGGTCAGTTTGAGCTCGATGGTGCACCCGAGTGAGCGTAAATAGCTAAGTGTTAGCGAAGGTAGCGCTATAGGGACGAAGGAGTACATCAGGGACATCGCAGTGCAGAGAAAAGTTTAGAAGCGTAAAAGTGACTACCGTGAAATGAAAGATCCCAGCCGTAAAAGTGACAGAACTGAAAAGTCTGGAGGTGGTTAGACAAGATGGATTTATGCTATTTTTACGGACATCAGCAAACAAGCTAACACCAGCTAACAAGCTAACACCAGCTAACAAGCTAACACCAGCTAACACGTCAATACCCGCAACTCAGAGAAAGAAGCCTCAACTCTATGTCCCAGCTCCAGATGTAGAGTTTGAGAGAAATGGTGAGTGTCTTCAATCAAATGCAAACATGTAGTGTTATGGTCTTATTCTGAACGTGTGTCTGTGGTTCTAAAGTCTTATTCTGAACGTGTGTCTGTGGTTCTGAAGTCTTATACTGAACGTGTGTCTGTGGTTCTAAAGTCTTATACTGAACGTGTGTCTGTGGTTCTAAAGTCTTATACTGAACGTGTGTCTGTGGTTCTGAAGTCTTATACTGAACGTGTGTCTGTGGTTCTAAAGTCTTATACTGAACGTGTGTCTGTGGTTCTAAAGTCTTATACTGAACGTGTGTCTGTGGTTCTAAAGTCTTATACTGAACGTGTGTCTGTGGTTCTAAAGTCTTATTCTGAACGTGTGTCTGTGGTTCTAAAGTCTTATACTGAACATGTGTCTGTGGTTCTAAAGTCTTATACTGAACGTGTGTCTGTGGTTCTGAAGTCTTATACTGAACGTGTGTCTGTGGTTCTAAAGTCTTATACTGAACGTGTGTCTGTGGTTCTAAAGTCTTATATAAACGTGTGTCTGTGGTTCTAAAGTCTTATACTGAACATGTGTCTGTGGTTCTAAAGTCTTATACTGAACATGTGTCTGTGGTTCTAAAGTCTTATTCTGAACGTGTGTCTGTGGTTCTAAAGTCTTATACTGAACGTGTGTCTGTGGTTCTAAAGTCTTATACTGAACGTGTGTCTGTGGTTCTAAAGTCTTATTCTGAACGTGTGTCTGTGGTTCTAAAGTCTTATACTGAACGTGTGTCTGTGGTTCTAAAGTCTTATACTGAACGTGTGTCTGTGGTTCTAAAGTCTTATTCTGAACGTGTGTCTGTGGTTCTAAAGTCTTATACTGAACATGTGTCTGTGGTTCTAAAGTCTTATACTGAACGTGTGTCTGTGGTTCTAAAGTCTTATTCTGAACATGTGTCTGTGGTTCTAAAGTCTTATACTGAACGTGTGTCTGTGGTTCTAAAGTCTTATACTGAACGTGTGTCTGTGGTTCTAAAGTCTTATACTGAACGTGTGTCTGTGGTTCTAAAGTCTTATTCTGAACGTGTGTCTGTGGTTCTAAAGTCTTATACTGAACGTGTGTCTGTGGTTCTAAAGTCTTATACTGAACATGTGTCTGTGGTTCTAAAGTCTTATACTGAACGTGTGTCTGTGGTTCTAAAGTCTTATTCTGAACGTGTGTCTGTGGTTCTAAAGTCTTATATGAACATGTGTCTGTGGTTCTAAAGTCTTATACTGAACGTGTGTCTGTGGTTCTAAAGTCTTATTCTGAACGTGTGTCTGTGGTTCTAAAGTCTTATACTGAACGTGTGTCTGTGGTTCTAAAGTCTTATACTGAACGTGTGTCTGTGGTTCTAAAGTCTTATACTGAACGTGTGTCTGTGGTTCTAAAGTCTTATCTGAACGTGTGTCTGTGGTTCTAAAGTCTTATACTGAACGTGTGTCTGTGGTTCTAAAGTCTTATTCTGAACGTGTGTCTGTGGTTCTAAAGTCTTATACTGAACGTGTGTCTGTGGTTCTAAAGTCTTATACTGAACGTGTGTCTGTGGTTCTAAAGTCTTATACTGAACGTGTGTCTGTGGTTCTAAAGTCTTATTCTGAACGTGTGTCTGTGGTTCTAAAGTCTTATACTGAACGTGTGTCTGTGGTTCTAAAGTCTTATACTGAACGTGTGTCTGTGGTTCTAAAGTCTTATACTGAACGTGTGTCTGTGGTTCTAAAGTCTTATTCTGAACGTGTGTCTGTGGTTCTAAAGTCTTATACTGAACGTGTGTCTGTGGTTCTAAAGTCTTATACTGAACATGTGTCTGTGGTTCTAAAGTCTTATACTGAACGTGTGTCTGTGGTTCTAAAGTCTTATTCTGAACGTGTGTCTGTGGTTCTAAAGTCTTATACTGAACATGTGTCTGTGGTTCTAAAGTCTTATACTGAACGTGTGTCTGTGGTTCTAAAGTCTTATTCTGAACGTGTGTCTGTGGTTCTAAAGTCTTATACTGAACATGTGTCTGTGGTTCTAAAGTCTTATACTGAACATGTGTCTGTGGTTCTAAAGTCTTATACTGAACGTGTGTCTGTGGTTCTAAAGTCTTATTCTGAACGTGTGTCTGTGGTTCTAAAGTCTTATACTGAACGTGTGTCTGTGGTTCTAAAGTCTTATTCTGAACGTGTGTCTGTGGTTCTAAAGTCTTATACTGAACGTGTGTCTGTGGTTCTAAAGTCTTATACTGAACGTGTGTCTGTGGTTCTAAAGTCTTATTCTGAACGTGTGTCTGTGGTTCTAAAGTCTTATACTGAACGTGTGTCTGTGGTTCTAAAGTCTTATCTGAACGTGTGTCTGTGGTTCTAAAGTCTTATACTGAACGTGTGTCTGTGGTTCTAAAGTCTTATACTGAACATGTGTCTGTGGTTCTAAAGTCTTATTCTGAACGTGTGTCTGTGGTTCTAAAGTCTTATTCTGAACGTGTGTCTGTGGTTCTAAAGTCTTATACTGAACGTGTGTCTGTGGTTCTGAAGTCTTATTCTGAACGTGTGTCTGTGGTTCTAAAGTCTAAAACATGATGGTATGTGTCATATCTATATCTTTTACTAAACGTCGTTAGAGTGAAACATGGATTCATGGTTCAATGACAGTCGTTGTGTTTTCTTCTGAATACTGGGTTGAAACTCGTTAAATTGGTTTTAGTTGGAGCTTGATGGAACTAATTTCATGGACCTGGCGCTGGTGTCTTCTCTCAGTTTGTTTGGACCTTCTCTGAATAAGTCAAAGATCGTAGGGACTGCTGTTTACTCTCTTCTTTTTGTTACTTTCATTGCTGCATCCCGGGGCCGTACAAAATACACCCATTTTAAGGTTTATTTGTGTCAAAGCGGCAGCAGGAGCAATGCCATAAACAGTGAGGGAGAGCTGCGACCCCTCTAAGTACGTCATCATTTTTCTGGCCAATCAGAGGCGTTGATATTAAAAGGTTATTTTACTGATTTATTACTTATCTATAACACAAAAACACATTGCAAAGGTGGGAAATACATGCTTTTAATGTGTTTTATCAGAAAAAAAATAGTTTTTAATAACGTTAGTGCCCTTTTAAGCACCAGCTCGGACTGAATAGAACTAGGACCAACAGGGACTAAAGAAGGGCCTGGGACTGGTTACACAGGACCAGAGGAAACATAACCAATCAGGGGAGAGTAGAGTAGAGTAGAGTAGAGTAGAGTTGGGTAGAGTTGGGTAGAGTAGGGTAGAGTTGGGTAGAGTAGGGTAGAGTAGGGTAGAGTTGGGTAGAGTTGGGTAGAGTAGGGTAGAGTAGGGTAGAGTAGGGTAGAGTAGGGTAGAGTTGGGTAGAGTTGGGTAGAGTTGGGTAGAGTAGGGTAGAGTTGGGTAGAGTAGGGTAGAGTAGAGTAGAGTAGTGTAGAGTAGGGTAGAGTTGGGTAGAGTAGAGTAGAGTTGGGTAGAGTAGGGTAGAGTTGGGTAGAGTAGGGTAGAGTTGGGTAGAGTTGGGTAGAGTTGGGAAGAGT